AAAAAAAAAAAAAAAAAATTCATAAGCTGAAAATGACAACATCGCCTTGTATCTGTGACGTCCAGGGAGGGTAGGATCTGAAACTTTCACCGAAGCCCTCAAAGGTCGCTGGGACACTACGCAAGATGGCGACTCTAGAGGACGCACTTTGTAATGTGCAACAACTTCAGGCAATTTCCCTTCCCGACGAACAGCCACAAGTGGAAGCACCTCCGGCTTCTGTCACTTACATTTCCAACTTTGATACGAACTTCGAGGACAGCAAAGCCTTCATCACATGTATCAGCAAGTATTTGGAAGAGGCGGATGTACACAAAGGCTTGGTACGTACATAGTAGGTGTGACATGTCAGGTGCTCATACCTTCACAAGGAAATGACTCGTTTAGCTTCTAGCAGCGCTCGATTCGACAAAATCTTACAGCTTCAATGTGTGTCTATTGTAGTCTTTCTGGAGGGATATATGCAGTAGATTTTAAGCTCTCTATTAATTTTCTTGCACTGAGAATCACTGCAGTGAGTGAGGTCGAGTTGAACGAAACTTTAGGAAGCTGTTGAAAAATGCCTGATTGCTTGTGATCATGGTTACGGAAACACTCTTTCTTCTCTTTTGTGAAAGAGAACGATTTAAATTTATGATCTCACTCGTGTTTTTATCTTCTCATGCATACATATCAAGTACAGCCTCGACAGTTTCGAATTCCACCTCAGGCATGGACGATAACTTTGAAATTGAACTGAACAGATCACCGTTTTTATCATTTTATCATAATCTTACGGAAAGGCAACACTCAGATCAGATTATGGAACGTTTACATTCTTGATATACCGTGTTAATGTCTTTATTTGGTTGATCGGGGTCTAAAATTCTATGAAGTCAATGGTCGATGACAATCGATGATTAAGTCAAGGTCAATTAATCAGTTGATATTGGTAATCTATGAGCACTTGATTGCAAAAGTTTTTATAATTATCGATTGTCGTCAAGAAATAATATTCACTCTGCATATTTTTTGTGATCATTGATTTTCATTTAATGTTCAGGCCCCAGGTCAAATTTCTCAAAAGTCGCCGTAACTTAGTCGGCCTGAAGTCATATTTCAGAATCAGAATTTAAAGAACTGAGAAGCAAGTTCTGGCATTCTCATCAATCCATTTTGTTTCTGAAGCTGAAAGTTTCATGTAATCATGTTCACAACACTGATCTTTAATGAAAACAGAACAGCTTTACAGGCCGGTCAAGTTACCCTGACCTTCAATGAACAGGCCCCTCGGTTGATAAGGTGAAAGTGTGATAGTGAGACTCACTGCCTCAAACTACAGTGGTGTTCAGAATATATTTAACAATTATTCCTCGAGCGTGCGTTGGATATGAGATGATAGATAGCCAACGAGGCGCGTAGCGCCTCATTGGCTATAATCATCTCATATCGAACAAGCGCGAGTGGAATAATTTTTTTTTATTAAAAACACCCTCAAGAAATTATTATTTTGTAAGAAGAAACTGGATTTTTTAGCTCTCTTTTGATTTTAAGCTGACGCGTATGCTTACCATATTTGTAGATTATGGTAAATTGGCTGATATACCATAATGGCTAAGCCAATAAAAAGTCTTGAATTGCATTATCCAATGATTCAGTTTTTAATAATTCATGTTGTCCAGAATCTGTGTGTTTTATCAAGTAACCCCTACTGTTCATAAATGTATGGGATATTGTTAAACATTTTTTATTGACCAGGAATTTCATGGTTTGAATTGTTGGGAACTCTGTTGGTGAAAAAAATATGCTAAGTTGTTGAATAGTTTGAATCACTGGCTCCTTATTTTGTATCAATAAACTATAAGAGAGCAATTTGTATCTAGACAACAGCCTCTATTTGGAGCAAAAAGATGTATGGATATTTGTCCATGGAAAGTGTCTGTTCTGAGAAGCAAACACTTTTCTAAGAGTAAAGTTTGACGAAAACTGTGAGCTTTGAGGAACAGATAACGTCCAAGGACAAATATATACAAGCACATTTTCACAAAAAAATAGAGGCTATTGTGTTTATTATCCGTCAATTATTTTGTAATGTGAGTGGAAAATATTTTATGAAAAGCTTCCTGTTTTCTCTGTGGGATGTCTTCTTCTGAGTACATGTTCTCTGGTGTGACCAAACGAACAAACAAATATTTCCATTCTTCAGTATCAACCAGAAAATGCTCTCTCATCTTGAATTGATTTTTTAGGGAAGACTTATCATAGCAGATGTGAAGTTTAAAGATTGGGGAATATCACTTGGGTGATATTCACTATTGTCCCCCAGGGGACAATGGGGAATATTTGGTCATGTGATCCTTTTGGACCATTTGTGCAGAAGCAAAAATGTATGATTTGTTGGATGTGACATATTTTTGTACACAAAATATTTCAATAATTTTTGTAATACCTCAAAATTATTTTTTCAGCTTTTATCCTTAATATAATTTCCTTTTATTGAATTTCTCTAAGCACTTTTTACATCTAATGGAATTATTATTTTTGTTAAAATACTTTGATTAAATATTAGATAATAAAAGGAGGCCAGGTAATCATTAATTTTCATAAACTTTTTTTTCCCCATGACAGAATGAAATGCTTGAAGAGGGTGCAAAGTATTCTGTGATGTTGTACACGTGGAGGAGTTGTTCAAGAGCTGTTCCTTCTGTAAGACATTTTCACTGGTTCATTTAATTTTTTAAATCTTTTTTGCCTTGTTTATTATAACATAACCATGAAAGTAAAGTGCGCGCACCCTGATTGGTCAATTTAGCATCCCCCATTTGCCCATGGGTGTACGCTGCTGACGTGAGCAAATGCAAAGACTATTTTTCCACGCGTGCTTGTTTTTTCTGGTCATGTAAGATTTGTTAAATAAAAGGGAACTCTTTAGCTACAATGTATATTAAATGTTATGTTATAAAACAAATGGTAAACACCACAGCATACACTATTGAGTTATGGATGCACTTGGGAGGTTTGCTAAGCACTCAAGAAGCTAGAGTTGCTCTCGGCTATCACCTCGCACGACTCTTATGCTTCTTTTGTGCTTAGCAACCTCCCGTGTGCACCATAACTCAATAGTGTATGCTGTAGTGTTTACCATTTGTTAACTGTTAGCCAAAAATAAACTTGAGCTGGCTATTTGGTAAGTGATTGGGGTACTATCGTTTACAATGTTACAATCTTCTCTGGTGTTTAGGTTAAAAGTGATGACCAACCAAACAGAATTGAGATTTATGAGAAGACAGTTGAAGTTTTAGAACCTGAGATACGCAAACTTAAGGGCTTCATGCACTTTGCCCAAGATGCTGTCACTAGATTCTGCAAGGAAGTGAAGACTCTGAGTCACCCAGAGAGCAGAAAGGATTTTATATCAGAGAGGTATCTGTTGACACTTGGAAAATTTGTGAACATGTTTGCAGTCCTGGATGCATTGAAGAATATGAAGGCATGTCTAAACAATGACTATGCATTTTTTAAAAGGTCAGTATTGCAAAATGCTAGTAAAACAAAAGGAATGTATTCTTGGTTTTTTTGGAGGGGACAATTACTCAAACCTCAGAGCCATTACTTAAGATTTGTCACCCTTACCCAATAATCTACAGCTACCATGATCACTATTATTCTTATCACAATCAATATTTTATTATTATTATTATTATTATTATTAGTAATATAACTAATATTATCATTATTATTTATTAGTATTATTAGTATTATCCTAGTGTACCCAAATGTCTGTCCAGCATTTTGAATTTTGCCAACCCCCAAAAACCTTAATAATTGAAAAAACTGACAAAACAAAACAGATGATATGAGTGATCATCACACTTCTGAACACTACTTGAGCAGAAGTGTAAATAAAGCCTGAAATGATATTCAGGCAGTGCCCTTCCAACTCAGCTTAAAAGCCAAAAACAACGACAGTGTAAAGATCAAAATATACTACAAATTGATAAAAAACAAACATGATCATCACGCTGTTTTTGACATTGGTTGTACTTTCTAGAGCTGACACCTTCCTGCGTCGAGGAACTGGTGATGTATCAATGATTGAAGAATCACAGAATCTTTCTCTGTTTTTGGCTAACCAAAACAAGATCACACACTTACTTAAAGAAGGACTGGAGAACATTCAAGGATATGAAGATGTGTTAGCTGATGTGTTGAATTTGTGTGTCAGATTGTATGAAAGCCACATGTATATAACACCAAATGATAAATACATTCTTTTGAAGGTAATTTAGTAACTATGCATACCATGTTCATGGTCTGGTGTAAACATGCTGTGCTATTTAAGAAATAGAACATATTTTTCTGGGCTCTACATCATGATAAAGTCATGTAGGATGTTGGGAGAACAGAAAAAAAGCTTAAAAATCACAAGCCTTTGGCTTGTGATTTGTTAGCTTTCGGGGTGTTCTCCCAACATCCTAAGTGGCTTTATCATGTTATAAAATTTGGATAAAATACGTTCTATTGCTTTTATGACATAACCAGTTACATGTGGGCTTCATAACCTGTTAAAGTATCTGTTTGAAAACTGAATAAACCAATCAGACAATGTGTATTGTATTCATTACCTTATGAAGGTTAAGCTGAAACGTACACACATTTTTATTGGTTCTTACCTACGATCTGTTGGAAGACAGATGCAAAGATAATGTCATCATTAACAACATTTTAATTTCTTTTTATTATTAAAAAAACAAATGGATTCCATGGTGCCATATGTGTCTGTAGTCAGTAACGAATCACAGAAGATGTCAAAATGAACATCAGTATGAACATCAGTGAGGCACCAGGTTATGCCTCATGTGCCACTATGAGTGCCCTCCGTTTCGCCAACGTGTCAGTTTGCCAACAAACTGTTGGCCTTCATATGAAGTTGATTTGTCAATGTCTAATGTCAGTTTGCCAACGCGTGTATAAATCAATAAACCATCCACTGCTTTAGCCCAGATGAGTAAAAACCTACTGTAAAACATTTTTATCTAACATTTTCATAGTTAAGTATAGCTATATTGACTCTAAATATATTTCTTTGATTACATGCGAAGAAGTGTCGCTCGTCATTCACATGTGGAACATGAGGGAGAGTGAAATGAACAATTTCAAATGATACTAACCTACGAACACCCGTGAATATGTCAAAAGCAAAATTTTATTCCTCTCACTGGTCATTTGTAATTGCAATTGTTCTGGACATTGGCATACTGATACATAAGGGATGGCAAACTGATATTAGAAGTTGGCAAATCAACTTCATACCTTCTTGAACTGTTCGTTGGCAAACTGACATGATTGTTGAAACGACTGGCTACTGCCACTACAGTTGTGTTCTTACCACATTTTGATGTCATTAGTGATCTTTTATTGAGCAGATGCATAGCAACATGGAATCTATTTGTTAAACAGAGCATTTCTCACAAGCGTCATGAAACCAAAGCTAATAATCCTTTAACTCGATCTGGACCCCAGCAGTGAGCATAGTTTTGTAATTAATTTTGTTTGGTGTCTACTTAATAGGTGATGGGGTTTCTGATTTTCCTGATGGATGGCAAGGAGAGTAGTGTGTTAAAGATGGATCAGAAGAAAAGGATCAGCATCAGCAAGATTGACAAAATCTTTAAGGTCCAGACTATATAGCCAATTTATTCAAACCTGGAGTTACACCATATAATGTTAGAAGTAGTAGTCTAAACGTAGTAACTTCATATAATAGCAGATTCCGTCAAGTTCGTGGCTCATATGCGTATATGATCTTGGGTATTTGGAAGCAGTTACCATCTGATGTGAAAAATGCATCTGACACAATCATCCTTCCAGAGACTTTTAACTAAGTTAAATTTTATTGGCTGTCAATGCAGTGTTTGCCTTTGACTTGATTTTATAGATATATATTATTCCTAATTCAATTGGTGTTATTACTATAATTTTAGCTACTACAATTTTAGTTTTTTGTCAAACACTTTTATCATGAGCCTTTGGCTTGGGGGAGTGGGAGACCACCCTCTCTGTATTTTTTTGACATTTAATAAATTATCTTATCTATCTTAAGGTGAACAGAATCTTATGTACAACTAAGATAGAACCCAGTGGCAACAGTTGTTATCACATCTCTCAGTTAGTCTGCGTGCCAGCCATCAGTCAATTTGGCTAGCCATTTTTTTCACCATATGGCGCACAAAATTTAAAAGTTTGTTTGAATTGAAATCTTTTCCTAAAGGGTTTATTAGCTTAAAACGTCAGCATCAGAAACTCTCTATACACCAAATGCTAATATGGCAACCAATTTGAGTTGCCATTGTTCTGGACTCACTAGCCTCTCACACATGTAATAATCCTTTTGTATTTCCACGTGAAGACGAGGCTAGTAAGTCCAGAACAATGGCAACTCAAATTGGACGCCATATTTGCATTCTGTGTATGGGTGGCCAGTTTACGTATAAATTCAGATGCTTTAAATCTTGATTGTGGTTACTGATAATTCGGATTTGCTGTACGTAGTTTTCATTACGATTAATTGGTCAATTCTTTTGTTTTCATTCATTTAACTTAATTTGTCCTGGTTTTTTTTGCTTATAACTTTGTTTTTATAGAGTCTTTTAATTTTAATAACTTTACCAGTAAATGACGCCACCAGTAATTATAACCAAAACACTGAACTTATCTTTATTCATAAACATATTTTACATGTCTATCTGGCTGTCTTCTTACAGTACACTTTTTTTATGATAGTTCATAATATGGATATGGTTTTGTATGATTATAATAGTAGGTGATTCGCAAATTATTACTTGAATTTTCTTCATTCCATGCCATAGCAATTTCCAGTGGTACCACTGTTTGGAGATGTCCAAATTGCTCTAGTGACTTACCTGAAAATATGCCCACACTTTGATGGTATGCGAGACAAATGGACTTCAGCTGCAGAAGGTGCTGATGAAAAAGTTGTGGGACAATACAATCTCCTTGGAAATATGGAGAGCATCAGGGAGGAGCATGTGAAGTTTATCAGTGAGCTTGCTCGCTAGAATAATGAGGTGTGTATGAATGATTAATTGTATATCTCGCTATATCTTGTATATCATGCCATAGTTTAATTTTGGATCAAAGTCTAAATCAGAATCTGAGTCAGCTTTTTCATGGAATAAGCAACCTCCCCTCTCCCAACTCTTTTAATTTGGAATTTTGCTTATCTTCAACGTGACCGCAAGGCAATAGTTTGGGTCCATAGTGTAGGTGATGGACTTTGGATGATCCAGGTTCATTGCTTGGATAGGAGCATTTTTTTTTTTTTTTTCTAAAACAAGACTCTTCACTTTTATTTAAGAGGAGAAATGTGGACCAGCAAAATGTTTGAGGGATCTAAAGAATTGCAAAGGAGGGGGGGGGGTAGGGGGTTGTACCTTTAATGGCGAGTATTACTTACTTGAAGAGTTGCTTGGCTCTAAGTTTTTTCATGCCTTTTGTGCAGGTACAGCCTTATGAGTCAGTTTTGTTTACAGACTTCATCATCTAATCTGATAAGCAACCCTAATTATAAGCTCCGTGAACAAGTTCTAAGCTGTAAGAAGGTTGAATATATAGTACGTTGTGGATCAGCGTGATATTCAGCTATAGTATCCTCAAGATCCTTTTTCTCACCTTGTTAATAAACAATTACTACAGATGATCACCTCCAGTGCTAATCCTCGAAGTGATGGACAGTGTAAAGAACTGACAAATCTGGCTCTCAGAGGACTAAGGCTGCTGTCCTCATGGACCGCACAAGTGATGGAGCTGGTAAGGCCATGTATGTGTGTGTATGATGTTGAACCTTTAACTCAAAAGATCTGATTAGAGATTCTCTGTTCCCGGCAGCTGGTACACTTTCTCTTGTAAATTAGTTTTGAGAGTTTGCATTATATCAAGGTAAAACCCTGGCTCTCATTGATAAGTTTGCCTCATCTCACCACTTGTTTGCTGGAAAAATTTGGATTTCAGTGCCCCAAGCCACAACTGTTTTGTTGGCCTTTGCTGCTAGGAAAAATTTCAGTAACTAAATTTGCTGGGTAAGTCAACAATTTGGTGACCTGTGTTGGGTATTCATGCAGCAAACTAAAAGGCTTGTGACCCAGTTTTTATGGTTTCAAATCAGAGTGAGCTGGTCCTAGAGGATTTTCATGGATTGTTTATTAATATGTACTTTATAATAATTTGTCATTTTCTGCTGAAAAATGTTGCCACTTTTGCTGTCTGCCATAGTATAAGATGTTGGGCGAATTTTTTTTCTTGTGACAAAAATCTTATTTCTCAGGCGACTTTGAAAAACGTCAGTTTGGAGCAGTGCATGGATATGGGAAGGAAAGGAATAAATGGGATCCATTGAAGGCTGTTATTGAAGGGATAAATGGGATCCATTGAGGGCTGTTAGTGAAGGCCATTGTTACCGACAGAGTTACCACCTAAAAATGCTTCTCTGTGACTTTTCTTTGAGTAGAAGGTATTCTAAATGATATGAAGTTGAAAGTCAATGGAGTATTTAGTATTAGAATTAATATTTTGCCTTGTCTAGTACTCCTGGAAACTTCTACATCCCACAGACAGGTATGGCAATCCACAATGTCCTGAGAACGCTGAAGAATATGAAAGAGTGAGTAAAATTATTGTAATTATCAGTCATAATTAAGTTAGGTTATCCTGTTCTCGAAGTACTTGTGAATTGGTTACAGATGTCTGAGAAAAGGAGAAGAGTAATTTAATTTTTAAAAGTTTTGGTAAAATGAATTGAAAAGTTGACATTGGCTGAAAACATATTGTTCTGGATGTTTGGGTTGTCACTGTTGCCTTCTTCAGAAAAGATAAAAAATGCAAATGTTCAACGGCGTCCTGCTTGGTATATGTACATGATATATTTTTTGCCAGTGTCAACTTTTCAGTTCTTTTTATGAAAACTTTTAATATGCCTGGCTACACACCCAATATTTTTAATTTGATGTTCATCTTTTCACTTCAGGTCTCCTATTTGTGAACCAGGGTGTTTTTTTCTTTGTTTTGTTTTGTTTTTTTTTTTTATTACAGTATTTCTCTTTCTAGTGGCCAATAGATATATATGCTAAGTTACATTTTTGGAAAATTAATGGCATTGTTTTGAGTATGTAGTTTTACTTTCATTACAAAATGCTCTCTAACACAACTTTTTCTTTGTATTACTTTTAGGCTACAAGATACAACTACAATAGTGAAGAAAAGTTCTCACTTGTGGAGGTAATTATACCTTTGTGAAACATCATTTTAAAGTTACATGAAAATGCAAAAAAAAAGTAAATAAATAAATAAATAAATAAAAAATAAATAAAACAAAAGCAAAGTGAAATTGGCCAAATGAATTGGATTGTGATGTAAAAGAGAGAGAAACAAAATACTGGGAACTTAACTTATTGTTTTCTGCCATTCTATCAGGTGATTGCCATGATCAAAGGTCTTTATGGTCAGATAGTGCGACTTGAACCAATGTTTTCAGAGGTGATCAAACGTAATGTACACACAGAAGTGCAGCAGTTTATTCAGGTTAACTTAAGAGAGCCACTCAGAAAAGCTGTCAAGAGTAAAAAGGCTACTCTTCTGAAAACGTAAGTGCAGATGTTGTGGACAATTTGTTGTTGTTGTTGTTCTTATTTTTTGTTGCAGTTTTGTTTCAAAATGATCTTTTCATTTGTTGCCAACTCATTCTCATCACGCAGGTTGTGGATAAAAGAGTATCTTAGAAGGGCACTTCATTTTAGATGGCTAGTTTCTTTGTTGTTGTAGGAATTTTGCCTTGCCAGGCTTTTTCTCAAAAGCTCTTTAACAGTATGTAAATATCAATAACAACACAATACAAAACAAAACAAAAACAAAATTGTTGAAAAAGTAGAAATTATCCTTCAGCATTTGCATCTGTTTCAAAGCTTTGTCAATCTTCTTGCATAGTCGAATGTCGTGATGGACTCATATGTCACCCAATGCGTTTTCACTTCAGAATTCTACTGTCCATTCGGGAGACCGGAGGAGACTGGGCCGATGGGCAACATGGAAGAGGGGACCCTATTCTGAAGGGAGAAAAGGACCCCAAAACAGGGCCCAACATTAAGATACCAGAAAGACTCGTAGGACCCTCCAGTACGCAGGTAACACTGTCTACGTTTTCTACAGTAGCAGAGTTGAGAGTGGAAATGAAGACCTGATTACGTGTTCAGCTAAACTTGGTACTTTAAGCTGACTTTTTCAGAAGCTCACAGGCACAGTTTGTCTTTATGTCTCTTTGTTCTTTGGTAAATATAGCTTGCGACCAGGCTCTCATTAAAAACGCTGAAAACCGCACATTTCTCCGCCCGCGGAGAGATTTGTAGACCTCTCGTCGGCTCACGTTTCTGAAGGGTCGTAACTTAAATGGATACTCCAAAATCAGGTTTCTGAGTAAGGACTGGAAGTGAATAAGTTATTTCTAGGTAAATGATTCGGCAAATAAGTTATTGAGTTCCATTCCTTACTCGGAAACCACGACCGTGTCTAAAAGGTATCGTTCTTTCCCGTGGAGGAAGAAACGCTGGCGCTCATTTGAAATGAGTTGAGCGACAAAGTAGTAAGTTTAAGCTCAAGTATCAAAGGCAGTTGGTAAAGTTGAACTGTGAATGCGCTAACTTTGCCTAGTATTTTAAATCAGCCCTGCAACTCAGCGTACAAACGGCTGCAGGTAAACCCTGTTAAGTTCAGTCTTTGCTGCTAGCTACAAAAATCAAGCTTTATCTGTCCTTTCAGATTTTTTCCTGATATAATGGCGATATTATTTCCTTGTGATAGTTGTATATGGTCCGCACGATGCTGGAGTCCTTAGTTTCTGAGAAAGGAGGCAAAAAAGTCATGCGCAAAGAACTGGAGAAGGAATCAGTGGAGCAGATTGAAGAGTTCTTGAAGAAATCTTTCTTCTTTGAACAAATGCTTCGTTTTAATGAAGTTTTGAGGGATTGCTGTGACTTGTCTCAACTGTGGTTCAGGGAGTTTTATTTGGAGTTGACAATGGGTGCCAGAATCCAGGTCAGAATTGCTAGAAATCGACCTGCCAATCTATCTTAACTCTTTCACTTCCAAGTAATTCTTCTTACTGTCTGTACGATTCTTAAGATGTTAGTTCGGAAAATTTGGTGTTGGATCATTTAACAATCCCCTAATTGATATTTATCTTTATTCTTATCACTTTCTGTTTGATACTGCATCGATATTGTAAGGAGAAATTCTGTCTTGGTCACTCATTGGAGTTAAAAGAGTAAGGAAGGTGTTCGACATTATTTTTTTTTTCTAACCATTTTCACTGCATTACCG